GGCACTAAACGCGGGGGCGAGAGGCAGCCTTCCTCGGCCCAATTACTAAATATGGTGCTTCTCCTCCGGGGCCGCAGAGAACCCCGTGGGCTGCTGCTGGGAGAAGGAGGTGGAAAGGGAAATGCCTCCTGCCATCTAAGGAGGATCTGGCAGGGTCATCTCCTGGCTACGAGCTCCCCCATCCCACCACAGCAGGAGCTGGGGATGGAGCACGCGTCCCTGCTGAGAAAGACCAGCTCTGGTAAACTGGTCCTGTAGCTGCCAGGCTAATGGGCTGGTGTTGGGGTTGTCTCTGCATTACCCTGGAGCTCATCAGGAGCAACGCTGCATTCAGACAGACCCCCCCGGAGGGGAATTTGGGCAATTTTACTGGCAGGTTCAAAGAGCTTTGTCCTAGGGGTGGGAGTGAATGATCTCAATGGCATCTGTCTTTCTCTCCCACTGTGCTGAGTGGATTTAGAGCTCTAACCTAAGCTTTCACAGTCCCTCATCTGCACGAGCCACAGACACTTCAAGAGGCAGCAGAAAAATTCCTTCCCGGTCTGCTTCCTAGAAATCAGCCCCCAGCTCCCGGGTTTCTGCATTGCAGAAATTCCAGCGCAGCACTCATGAAGTTAAGGACCTTTTGTTTTTCTAAGAGCAGTGGAATTGCTCCACAAAACAATTAGACAAGAGCTGCTGCTACTTTCAGAGGCCAAACGGCCTCATTACAGTACATGTCTGCCGTGTACTGTTGACTCAGTTGGATCGATGCCACTGAGTCAATCACCAAGTCACTCCCTGAGCCGATCTCCAGTTCTAATGCACTGTGGTAGGTTTGGCTCCTTTTTGATTTTTTTTGTCAGATCAGGTCAAAGTATTTGTTTTTCTCCCCTAAAGATAATGACTTCAAGTTCCCTGATGAGGCCCAAATGCAGCACTGGGGAACAGGCTGGGAACGCAGGAGTTGGGTGCAGCTCAGCATCACCCGCAGCTTGTGGCACAGGACTGGGAACGGCAGGCAGCACTGTGGGCTGGCATGCAAGCCACGGTCTGAACTGGGGAGCCCGCAGCCAGGACGGGCAGAACTGCTGGGGTACGTGTGGAGTGTGATTATGTACGTCTGCAAAGCACAGGGACAGGCGCCCCGGCTGTAGTTGGCTCTGGACCACTCCTGGTGACTTGCTTCCACGAGCAGATATGGGATGACCTTCTTCCCCGCTTTGGCTGGGTATCCCCTTCTCGAGGCAATGCCTTTTGCCTGATTTTGTGGCTCCTGGAGGCCTGCCCCGCACCCTGGGTGCCAGCATCGCGCGGCAGAAGCTTTCCCTAAGCAATCCAGCTGTGCTCAGGGGTCATGGGGAAGGACAGATACAGTGCAATGGGGTCCTAGTCCCCATACTGAGGTCCTTCACTGATATGGACTCAGACAGTAAAAGCCAGTGGCGGGGGCAGAGATCACATTCCCCACCCTCCTTATCTGAGGCTGCAGAAGAAACACGACTTCCTCCTGCAGAGAGCGGCCGCAATAAGGACACAGCCTGCCACCCCCCTGCCCGCCCGGGGGAAGCCTCTCCACAACTCCCCTTCTTAGTTCTTTCAAGCCAAAGCAAGGTTTCCAGCCTGGAAACTCCCCCACACGAGAGCTACCGGCCACGCTGGCCACTCTTCACACTGCGCAGGGAGCAGAGACGCGGCAACAGCCTCTCTCTCTTACATCTGCATCCATCTGTGCATGCCATGTCCCAGGCAGGCTGGCCAAGAAGTATCCAGTATCCGTGCCAGGTGGACACAGGAGCATGGCAGGGATCGGCCCCATGACGACACTGGTATTCCCCTGCTGGAATAGGTCTACTGAGAGTAGTTTTAGCTGCGCGCCTGTTCATAGACCCTAGCTCTGCTTGCTGCCCGTATGGAAAAGACCCATCTGTGCTCCCTGCTGCAATGGGATGGTGACACTGGGAACAGGGTACAGGGAGCAGCTGAGAAAATGTTAAACCTCAGCGGGACCTTGCTGCAAGGACAGCTCTGAAGATGCACTTCTGCATCTGTCACAGAGCAGCAGGAGTAGCGTGTTGATGAGCCATCAGTGAACACAAGCAATACACACACTCCTGTTAACACATGAGAATCACTAGTTCTGTTATGTGATAGTCTTAAAGGGCAGGGGACAGAAATCTGGTAAAACATAGGATAAGGACAGTGGTCACCTTTTCGTTCAAAGGTCCTGCAGCCCCCCTAGATGTGGATGCCCCAGGTTTAAGGAACTGCTCTCAGCAATGGAACATTACTCGCCTGTCCCTGCACTGCTGCCCTGGTATTCCCAAAGGGACAGGAAGGGCTTCTGGGGACCTGCAGCGTGAACCCAAGAGGATTTGTAGGTTCCAGCAGAGCAGGCAGAGGAAGGAGTTAATCCACAGCCAGATCCTGTTGTCCTGCCCTTCCCTGGAGGTGACACTTGGGTCCAAACATACAACAGAGATACCCTCCACAATAGCAGATTTCCAGGCAGGCTGGAGGTGATGCTTTAGCACTTCACAGTAGGCCTTCCATCAGCAGAAGGGCCAGGCCAGGACCACATCTTCTTCCCATCATCTCCTGAGACACAGGGGCAGGTCCCATGCCAGTTCCCAAAGTGGCAAAGCCACTTAGAAGATTAAAGCTAGCATCACCCCAGAGCAGTGCATGCGATCTCGTGCTACCACTGTTTCGAGAGTCCCTGTCTCATGCTCCAATCTTGAACATCTGGAGATAGTCTAGACAACTCAGCCTAGCCTTTCCCTGGTGTAGGGACAGACTAAGTCTTTGTGTGGGTGCTGGCTGAGGTCAGCCCTGACAGCTTGGATGGCCCGTGGTGTCCTGGGATGATCTGTGTTCCTTCAGCAGAACTTCCAAGTCTGGAGAAAAGCAGAAAGCCTGCCGTACGGCTCCCACAGCCGGGCTGTTTGTAGAGGAATCCTAACGAGCGTTTACACGGCCCATAAACAGGACATGACGGGGCGCCCAGCCAGCGGAGAGCCGGGAAGCAAGGCGGGAGGGGCGAGGGAAGGGCTGGTACTCACTGCACAAGAAGCAGGACTTGTGGAAGCTGCTGCCTTCACATTGCACCTCCTCGGCGAAGTAGACAGCCTTCTGGCACACGCCACACTTCTTTCCTCCTCCCCAGTTTGGCATCCTTGCAGAAAAAGCACAGGAGGAAACAGCGTCAGGGCGGGAGGCCAGGCAGGGTGCTGGCCGGGCAGGAGGCAGGGATGGGGCAGAGCGAGGCAGCCGGAGCAGGCACCCGCCCGCGGTGCTCCAGCAGCCATTCCACATCCGCACATGCGGAGACCACCCACGGATGTTTGCTGTTTGCACAGATTCGCAGGGCTGGTAATTAGCAGAATTAGCAGAACTCAGGATGCCCATGGGACCCATTGTCACAGCACCCAGCAGTATCAGCTGCCTCCTGGGGACCACCCGTCCTGCCAGCCAGGAGCAGCAGAAATCCCCCTGTCCTGGAAGCCGTGGGACCTCACAGCTCCTTTCTGTGCCAGGAAAAGGGAGGAAGCGGGACAATGATGTGAGACGGCACTCACAGAGGTACCCACAGCGCCGGCACCTCATTAGATCACAGCCCTGCTATTACCCCTCGACAGGGCAACGCAGCAATGGCCAGGGTGACTGATCCTTGGTGCTGGAGAGTGTACAGGTTGTCACCCCACCTGGAAACAGTTCCAGCTTCTCCTCCCCAAACACCTCTTCCATTTCTGCCACCACAGGGCAGGGGTATAGTCAGGGTTGCCCAAAGGGCAGGAGCTGACCCCTGATACCACCAAACACAGCGGGCTCTGGCACCGTGTCCCCCATAGCACCATTAGCCTGTGCCTTGCCTGGCCAACTGCTCACAGGTTCCCCCTGTACTCTGGCATCTCAGTCTCCTTCAGGACTGCAGGTACTGTCACGGAGGCTGGGAAATCAGCAGCCCTGGGGACACACGCTCACGTGCAGGGCAAACACCTGAGCACCAGCCGAAGCCACCATGCAGCGCCTTGGCAAGACATAAATGCTTCTGTTTCTCTCTCCTCTTTCCTGAAATGTATCTGATGAGACATGATCAAGAGGCCCCTTGATCTGGAAATTTGCAGATAACCCCAAAATGCTGTGAGCAGCTAACACAAGAGGCAGAGGTCCAACACAGAAGGGCCTTGATACTTTTGAAGATGGGACCAACATAAACCTCAAGACATTCAAACAACAAAGTCCTACAAGGAGATGCTGAGGGAGGCAGGCTGGTTAAGTGTGGCCAAGAGGAGGTTAAGAAGGATCTAACAGCAACCCAGGGTTGCTACAAAGACAACAAAACAAAACACTTTTTGGTGGTGCCCAATGATATGAGGAGGGTCAATGGTCACAAGCTGCAGCTTGGGAGGTCTCCAGAGACCTCTCTGCATCAACAGTTCTGTAATTCTCCATCCTGCTCCCACATGGGGACAGGCGGCAGAAGTCTCCCTCCCCTTTGCAGGCACAGCTGTGTGCTTCCCGACTCCTGAACAGCTTAAAGCAGCAGGACAAGGTCCCCAAAACCAAACACCATTTTCACACCACGCTGTGTGCCACCCCACAGCATGTGCAGGATCTCATCACCTCCCTTGGCTTGGCTGCTTGGCTATGAGGAAAGGATGCTGGGTCTGTCGGGGTGCACCGGGGGCACAGCCTTTGAGCCCACTCCTCGCAGCAGCTCTGAATCCCCGGGTCACCGCGGGCAGCTGAAGCCCCATCTCTGGGTCTCCAGTCCCCCACCCAGTGACTGAGCCAGCGGCACTGTCCTGCCTGGCAGGCGGTCAGGGAGATGGATGCTAAGCACAACAGCACTGGGGGCTGTACAAACGTCAAACAGAGAGATGAGGGAGGACGAAGCGCTGCAAACCCTCTGCTCACAGGCACAGCGAGATCTCTGTACCTTCCAGCATATGGAAAAGTCGAGCTCTGCCCTGTGTAAGAGTATTTGGTCAGGCAATAGAAAAGGGAAATTGATCCCAGCCTGGTGACAACAGCAGGCAGGGCAGGCAGGGCGCGGGCCAGGGCTGGCACACTGGCAGGGCTGCGCAGAGGCGCTGGCC